ACATATTTGTTTTTCAGAGCCTAACGTGCAGAGTGAACCGTACAGTGCAGACACATTATCGATTAGGCTGCAAAGTTGGTGGCTAGACTGATCCGAAACCACTGGCAAATCAAATAAAGCTGTAATGTTTTCTAAGAAAATCAGCGTACTGTTGTCATACCGTGTTTTAAGTCGCTCTAAAGCCTTCGGATAATTTTCATTACAAATGGGGAATGCCTGCACTGTTTCTAATGCTTGGCCCGTTAGACAATTTCGTAAATGGTTAAACTTTTCGATGTTGGTTAGACACGCTTCTCGATCAATAATTTGGACGAAAGAATTGATGAAGTTCTTGTATTCGGAGTACTTACCACTGAATGTGGGTAATTTCAAATGCGGCAACTTCTTACTCACAGGAGGTATCAATGCTGTGTTGTCCATCATTGTAGAATTATTAGCTTCATCATTCAGCTGCGAAGATATGGAAATTTTTGTTGAAATATAAAGCTCCTCTAAGTCAGCTCTGCACGTATCGGTAGCATCTAGTTTCTCAATTGATGTCTGAAATGATAAGACCTGTTTAAAGTAAGAATCTAGGATACCTTGCCTACATTTTAATTCCGGCTGTGACAATAATTTTCCAGTCCCCTTTATGTGGGTTTCGATCAACCCTTTAATCCTACTGATACTCGCTTTGGTTGAGGCCCTTTGCTGTTTGAGTTCTGCCAATTCTGACATGGCCGTCTGGCTTGTGTTGGGTGTTGTCATCTCGATTTAATAAATTATTGATGAGTCAAAATAATTACACTCTCCGAAAGTCTAATATATATTATATCACGACACGATACCGAAATAGTGCACAAATTCGAAAGTCACTAAGCACTTGCGCATAAATAGTTGTGCTACAACGATAATTAATCGGTTGACCGAATGATGCGAACGAAAGCGAAAGTTCTAAGCACATGCACTTAAATAATTGTGCGACAACGATTAATTAATCGGTTGACTGAATGATGCGAACGAAAGCGAAAGTTCTAAGCACATGCACTTAAATAATTGTGCGACAACGATTAATTAATCGGTTGACCGAATGATGCGAACGAAAGCGAAAGTTCTAAGCACATGCACTTAAACAATTGTGCGACAACGATTAATTAATCGGTTGACCGAATAATGTGAACGAAAGCGAAAGTTCTAAGCACATGCACTTAAATAATTGTGCGACAACGATTAATTAATCGGTTGACCGAATAATGTGAACGAAAGCGAAAGTTCTAAGCACATGCACTTAAATAATTGTGCGACAACGATTAATTAATCGGTTGACCGAATGATGCGAACGAAAGCGAAAGTTCTAAGCACATGCACTTAAATAATTGTGCGACAACGATTAATTAATCGGTTGACCGAATGATGCGAACGAAAGCGAAAGTTCTAAGCACATGCACTTAAATAATTGTGCGACAACGATTAATTAATCGGTTGACCGAATGATGCGAACGAAAGCGAAAGTTCTAAGCACATGCACTTAAATAATTGTGCGACAACGATTAATTAATCGGTTGACCGAATGATGCGAACGAAAGCGAAAGTTCTAAGCACATGCACTTAAATAATTGTGCGACAACGATTAATTAATCGGTTGACCGAATGATGCGAACGAAAGCGAAAGTTCTAAGCACATGCACTTAAATAATTGTGCGACAACGATTAATTAATCGGTTGACCGAATGATGCGAACGAAAGCGAAAGTTCTAAGCACATGCACTTAAATAATTGTGCATAGAGTAGCGGTTATTGTCCGCATATTACCGAACCTCGACACTCGAATAACGTTTATTTTACCACGCGGTAACGTTTTATTTACCACGCGGTAACCACGACCATTAATTAACGTTAAGTTTAGAAATTCCGTTTGAAATTAGCAATTTTATTAATTTGCAAATATTATTTTTTAAATAATTTTTTATTATATATTTATAAACAAAATTAGAATTTATTTTTAACATTTAAATTAACACTTTTTGTCTAAAGTTTATCTTTGTTAATTATACACACCTTGAAGTGTTTTATTTTTTATGTCTGTTATTTGTTGTTTTAAGTAAGAACTTTTCTTATTAGAAAGTTTGTTACACGGCACTTAAAGCGTTGATCTTTGATTAGTACTTATGACCATTTTTAAAACGTTCGAATATTATTTTCATATTAGTGTCCTGTCACGGTCGCCAATGTTTAATCATAAGCTTTTTTATGATGTTTTGAGTATTAGTCTTTTTCTTTACAATAATTATTACTTATATTTTATCAAATACTAACAATGTCTTTTACGAGGTGATGCTAATTTATTCACTTAAATAAATTGCTTTAAAAAATTAATACAAATTTTGTTCAAATTATTGTAGTTTACGATTTATTTACTTAATTACACACGTAACAATTCATATAATATATATTTTATTTTTTTTAACTATTTATAAAACATTACTGTTTAATTTTAGCGCACAGACTGTCTTTCTTTACACACTTTTCAAAGAGAACAGAAGAGGCATTTTTATATTACAATAGAATTCAAGTTGCAAATTAACATGCGTACGAATAATTGAGTGCGAATGTCAAGAGCTGAAAGCTCAAATGAGTAAAAGAAATGACTCAAAACTGGTATTGATCTTGCTCTACATTATTCGTACACATGTTAAAATGCTTACAAACTCAACTTGCTAGATCTACCAAAGCACCGTGCTCCAACATCCCGCCCCCCTTGAAAGGATTTCTAGCTGGCAATAGTGCAAGTTTGTGGATTGGTCGACGGATGACTCCTTTGGATGTCTGCAGATCGACTACGCGAATATGCTTATCTGGACCGTTTACACAGTGAATGATTCTTCCCATCAGCCAACGTTGTGGGGGCATATTATCCTCGTGGATTATTACTAATGTTCCATTGCTGACGTTTGATTGTTCCTTTGTCCATTTGGTACGTGTCTGCAGCTCGTTTAGATAATCTCGAGCCCATCGGCGCCAGAAATGATGTTTTACAGCCTTCACACGGAGCCACTTATCTGCTAGTGGCAATTTATCATATTGAGATGTTGATTCCGGTAATGTCTTAAGTGGGCCGCCGATAAGAAAATGTGCTGGTGTCAATGCATCATAGTCGCTTGGATCGCAAGACAGCGGTGATATTGGTCTCGAATTAAGTATGGCCTCGATTTCAATCAGTACTGTTCCAAGTTCCTCAAACGTAAGACGAGTGTTTGCAAGGGTTCGGTTCAGATGGCCCTTAGCAATTTTCACAGCCGCCTCCCATAGCCCACCGAAGTGAGGCGTCCTAGGCGGTATAAAATTGAAATTGATGAATTGGTTGGTGCAAAAAGTCTGCAAATTAGATTGGTTAGTTTTATTAAATAAAAAGTTTTTCAAGTCAGCCAGCTTGTTGCTAGCACCAACAAAATTTGTTGCATTATCGCAGTAGATATCTGATGGCAGTCCCCTTCTGCCGATCAATCTTTTTAGTGCTGCGATAAAGGTGTCCGTAGTTAAATCTGACACTGCCTCGATGTGTGCCGCCTTTGTTGATAAGCAGACGAAGATAGCTATATACGTTTTGAATGGGGCTTTTCCCCGAATACCAAGATACGTTAATACTGGCCCACAAAAATCTACTGCTGTACGAGCGAATGGCCTACTGGGAGTGACGCGTTCAATAGGAAGGTTACCCATTATTTGACCAAGCAATTTCGGTTTCTAACGCACGCAGTGAATGCAAGACCGAACCGTTCGACGCGCAATATCGCGAATGTTTAGTATCCAAAACTTAAGTCGAGTAAGGGCGATTAATGCCTTGGCTCCTGCATGATAGTTGCTCAGATGAAGATGCCGAACGTACAATTCCACAAAATAACAGCCTTTAGGCAGTAGAATCGGATGTCGCTGACCCCTGGCAATGTCACTAAGTGCGAGACGCCCTCCTACCTTTAAGAGTTGATAACCTGACGCTTCCTCCAAGAATGGGTTTAGGTGCTTGAGTGACCCTTCCACTGGGTTACCTCGCTGTAGGCCTTGTATATCCTGAGAAAAAAAATGATTTTGGATAATCCAAACAATACAATGCAGTGCTTTTTGTAATTGCATAGGTTGAATGAACTCTACGTCAGCTTTCTCTTTATACTTGGTTAACTGATGGAATCGATGTAGTTGCGCTACTATTCGTAGTATTTTAGTATAGGAGCCATA